ACTCGCCAATGGGCATCCAGTCTCAGAAGAGAGACCATGGAACCACTGAACACGGGGGGACTGAACTATCATTATTTAGGCTCCTGACATCCATTGAAATCAGTGGAAGTTGGGAGTCTAAATACTTTTCAGGATCTGGGCCTAAATTAACTTTGTAAAAGCAGTTTCCTGGGGGGATGGCTTGGGCTGGGGGTGTTTGTACAGAAGCCCCTGTACCAAATAGCCAAATATTGATGTTAACATCAGGTAGAAAAATAGCTAATGGCCAACCTTTCCAGCCCTAGAAACCAGGAGAAAGGTTTGTGGCGGGAAAGGACCAGAATGTAAAGAAGTTGGATGCGAGGAGAGACCAGAATGAATTCACATAAGGGGATTGACCTGGCAGACATCCTAAGCTCCTTCGTTTTTGGAGTTCTCTGAGCCTATATTCTCCACATTCTAAGAGGAGGGGAGGTTTATGTGTCAAGCATGAATCTGATCATGCAGACAAAGAACTTCACAACCTGTTACTTACCTAATACAGTCAGAGTGTAGGTTTGATTGAAAGATCCATCGCTGGTTAAAGTTTCACAGCTATAACATCCCTCATCTGTGAGTGTCACTTGCCGTATCTGAAGTGCACTATCAGTTTCAGGACTATATTTCCAATCCATTCTCTCACTGCAGTTTGTTCTGTTTGTCTTGTTCAGATCACGTCTGTATGCCAGTTGGCAGTGATTTCCAGTCCTTGGGCTTATCTTCCATATTACTGATACCAGATCCACCACTGAAACGTTACTACAGTTCAGATTAATGCTGGAACCAGCTATTTTAGATACTCTGTCATCTAGAAAAGATGCAGGAAGAGAAGGACACTTGCAAAGGTCACCCAGAATGTCATTATAACCTTGGATCTCTGGGGTAACATCTCTAGTATTATATAATATTCCATAGTAAGATCCCACCTCTGCAGGTACTAGACCCATTTTCTTGCATCCCATAGCTTTAAACGGTGACCGATAACCTGACTTTCGGTTTTGCCACCAGTCCACAGGATTAACCTCTCTGCTCCCATACTCCGTAGAACCTGCTCCCTACTGCAATCACTGCCAAGTTTCAGTATAAAGATGTTATTGTGGAGTGGAGCCTGACTGAGACGCAGGGCACAGCCATACTGGAGGAGCTCCTGGGGTAACTTTATTTTTTTCTTCTTCTTGCTTTGGCTGCAATTGTGAGGCAAATTAATGATGGGGAGGAGTAACATTAGCAGTGCAACTGTTCTGTACTGCCCTTGGCGTAAGCACAAATCAGGAGAAGTTAGACGTTTCTGAGCCACTTCCTGCTGCTCCAGCCACAATGGGAGTTAAGCTACCACCTTGGATTAGCTGGAACTCAGCAGAATCAGCAAATCCTTGCAGGAGCTGTATGCTAAAGATCGGTGTATACGTAAAACGTATACAGCTATGTCAGATAAGGGTGTGATTTTTTTTTTTTTTACCAATATAGCTGTGCCAGTGTAAGTCCTACTATAGATTCAGTTATCCTGGAAAAACAGTCCAACTTTGAAAATAGTTTCTATTCAACATATCTTTCTTCCTCTACCTTCCCGAGGCCAAATTCTGCCCTGCTACACCGGAGTAAATCTGAATTAGGTCCTTTGATTTTAGTGGCGTTATGCCAGATTTACATTGATGTTATTGAGAACCAAATTTGAATGTTTGTATTTGATATTTATCTGGTCACTTCTCTGACAAGAATGAGTTTCTACTCCTCTTAGGCCTGCAAAGCCCATACAGACACAGGAGAGCGAGCTGGGGTCTATTCTGCCTCACTGAGCATTT